AAGTAATAATTTTGATTGTCTTTTCATATAGTTACAGCCATTTTCTTCTGTGAATACTAGCTCCTGTATTTTACTAGTTTTCCTTACACTAAAGGGAAAAAAGCTTCCAACTTACTCTTTTAAAATGTAAATGCTTATGCATTCTGTTTTTACTTCAGTAGTTAACTTAGAAATTTAAAATACAATTTTTCTTAAAGCTTAAGATGAATAGCCATTTATTTTCCATCTATATAAGCACTCATGGAAATTTAAGTTTTTAAATATAAAAAAAAACGTATAAATCACCCAAAATCCTAACACTAGAATAAATTATTGTAAATACAATGATGAATATTATACTAAGGTTTCAATTACATACATGTTATGATAACACATTTCATTCAATCAAATATAACAACTTTTATTTCAAAATTGTAGGTTCAAATATGCACCAAAGGAAAGAAGAAAGTTCCACTGATTTAAGTATTCCTACATATTTTTACAATCAGATTATAATTCTTCTGGATCACTTTTTGGCTTATGGTTTGCAATAGACCCCTATCAAGAACATCGCAGACCCTGCATCTACAGAGTGCTATATTGCTGTCTCTAGGAATTTCTTCCAAGCTGCTCTGCAATAAGTTTTGACATGGTATATTCTTAATTCTTTTTTTCTTTTTTTTTGAGCTGTTTTTGCTATAGGGTGTGTGTGCTCGCCAGAAGACGGAAAGAAACAGAGACAGAAAGCGGGAAATCACCCCTCAGAGGGGATGGCCACACCACAATATCTTCTCCTCCATTCTTCTCTTGGGATCTTGGGCATACACACACACATGCCTGGCATGAGTTTAAGCCATTGCATCTGGGACTTGAACTACAGTGGACTATGTGGGACTCCAGCGGCATAGCCATTCTGCCAATACCAAAACATATCAATAGAAGATATTTCAAAAACAGAAGAACTTATCCTCCTTTCTCTAAAGGTCCATAAATAGTTCATTGACTAAAATACCAACTTTCTGAAATTGTCCAGTCATCATCAAAAACCACCAAATTTGCATGTGCACTTGACTGCCATGTGGCAGCAATGACTGCACAATGCTGTCCTGTGTAAGATGTTCAAATGTGAAATATGTGCTTCTTAGAACTGCATAAATGTAGTAATATTTACATGTATATATGAATAGTCAATGTGTATTTGTATTCATGAATATAAATATAATGAAAATAAGTTATTGATATAAGTACATGTCTAAGATTTGAATTTCTCGTTTGTGCTTTTCAAAATCACGAATATATAGTTATATTAGCAGCTTTAACAGTATTTCACTGGTTAATATTATTTAAAATATTTCACCAAACTCAGGAATACTTATATCACCTTATCTCAGTGTTATGAGCTATTGTATTAAATACTTTTTTTTTTTTTGAGAGGTTTTTGCTATAGGGCGCTTGTGGTCACCAGAAAGACAGAGAGACACAGAGAGACAGAAAGTGAGAAATCACCCCCCAAGGGGGACGGCCCCCATTCTCCTCCATTCTCCTCTCGGGATCTTGGGCACGCACACCTGCCTGGCGTGAGTTTTAAGCCACTGGATCCGGGACGCGAACCGCGGTCGACTACATGGGAGTTCAGCGACATAGCTATTATGCCAACTGCTGGTCCCTGTATTAAATACTTGTTAATAGTTCTCATTTCAGTTTTTATCATAGGAAAAATTTTTGCTCCAAATTTCTTAATTTCTCATTCATCCAGTGAATAATTTGTAAACTCCTGTAATATCACTGCATTCAAATAACATTCCAGGGACCAGTAGGTGGCGCAGTGGTTAAAGGCACTGGATTCCCACATGGCTGACCATGGTTCAAGTCCTCCATCTGGAGGCTTGCTCTCTCACTTTC